GAGACTATTGAGTAGTAGACACAGCCAGCAGAGCAGTCAGAGGATACTCAGTAGGCAGAGCAGACTGAGCAGACAGAGCAGGTAGCATAGCCACAGCTACGTTGCTCTGGTCGCACATGTACTCAGGTGTCACCAAGGCCTGAGACACAGAGGAGGAGTCCTCGTCCACTTCCTAGACCACGGGGTCCACCTCCAGTGACTCACCTTGACCTGAGGGCAGCCACAGCCAAGCAGGTGCAGCAGCTCCATTTCGTGTAGTTTGAGGACTGGTTTCCACCGAGGCAGGATGAGCGTACTTCAGAGCACTTCTATACAGTACTATAGGAGGATTTCTATCACACGTATCTTAACAGTGGAGTTGCCTTCAGATCACAGAGAGTTTGCTCTATTGAGTCACTTGTTGTAGCAGTAGGAGAGTAGATCCGCCCTCACCTCTCATATCTGCCAGGATTGACAGACCTTCTTGGATGGACTGGCCGCTATGTTCCATCATGGGTCCATGAGTTCTACTCTTCACTTTGGATTGACCCGAGACACAGATTCATACAGTTTGCATTCAGAGGTCATGACTACAGGCTGTAGAGTTCGAGGGTCAGAGAGATTCTTAGGATTCCAGAGTCACCCATTCGCCTTCATGAGGTTTGCTATGGTTAGACAGAGCCTCCGAGACACCCTCATGGCAGACTTGTGCCACCCATAGATCTAATCTGACCATGCTTCATAGAGCCATTCGACGAGAGGTCAAGCAGGACACCACGTGACCATACTCCTACCGCTCGACTTCTTGAGCTATCATGAGGAGGACTCTGCTCCCGAGGATGGGTTACCGTGAGGGTTTGACTCGCATTCAGTTGTGGTTAGTGAATTCTCTGGTTGAGCAGACCGGATTTGATATCGGGGATGTCATACTATCATAGATGGAGGACACTCTTGTAGAGGGGTTCAGAGGTCATCGACAGCTGCCTTATGCTCACTGGATCACCTTCTTGATTCAAAAGGCAGTTACACAGAAGTCCCCAGAGACGATGGCTGAGTACACAGGTGCTACTATAGAGTTCCCTCCTTATAACATGACTCAGATGCTCCGCACTGTAGTGTGAGGACACCTCGCCAGCTGAGCCATCACCTAGAGGTCCTAGAGACAGCAGCCCAACAGGATGAGATCATCAGGGGCATTGTAATGACAGAGGAGGAGCAACTTGATGCTCAGCAGGAGGGTATGGTCGAGAGCGACCCTAGTGATAATTCTGATGATGATTATTATCCTATTCCTCATATGCCTCCTCGACCACATGACAGAAGAAGCCAGTGGCTCCAGCTCAGCACCACCATAGCCACCGCAGACAGATCTAGCTCTTCTTGCCGTACTTGAGCGGATGAGGCAGGACCAGGCACGCTAGGCATAGGAGACAGTAGCTGCACTTGCATAGGTTCAAGCTTGACAGGACGAGTTCTAGAGGCAGTAGCAGGCCATGCAGCAGCAGCAGCAGCAGCTCATGATCCAGCAACAGTTACTTGGGTTCATGCAGTAAGTTTTCTCTGCTATCGGGGCCGCTCCTCCATAGACTACACCTCAGATAGGCTAGCCTACCACAACTTCAGTGACTCCAGCTGTACAACCCAGTGGGCTTCCGAGTCAGGGACAACAAGCTACTCAGTTTGCTTCACCTACAGAGCAGGTGTCCTAGTGCTTTGCTTTGCCAGTGACAGCCCATGGTCCTCACTTTACTCCTATTATTATAGGCTTCACTCCACCTCAGAGCTCTTCAGTGCTAATGGCTGACACCCTAGTATCCAGGAGTCTCAGTGTGACTTTTAGTGAGCTTACAGGGCAGCCTACACCATCAGAGTTGTGAGTCCCTGTATCTACCACAGTTGCTCTAGTTACTGGGACTACTGAGACGCTCTCATCGTCTGTTGCATCATCAAAGCCACCTCCTATAGCGATACTTCCAGAGTCACAGGCCGCGCTAGTTCCTGAGCAGATCCAGACCGCTTCACCTTCACTTCTAGCGACAGAGGGTCAGACTGCTTAGAGCTCAGGGTCAGAGGATGATGCTGCACAGTTCTAGATTTCTCACTGCACCACAGCACCCAACTTGTCTGCTCCTGCCCCGCCGTCTGACACATAGGTTTTGGTGCTTGATGCCAAAAGGGGAGAGGGATCGAGTATGTTAGATCTAGGGGGAGCGGTACATCTAGGGGGAGCTTATGATTCATTTCTATTGGCTTTTTATGTGTGAAACATTATGCATTCACGTTTACCTTTATGCATTGCATTACATGCTTATGGTGGTGATACTTATGTGACATGTGTGCTCTATACTTTGATTTATATATATGTCATGTCACTTGGTTATGCTCATTTGCTTTGCTTCCGCGTTTTACTCCGATTCAAATGAGCTTTATTTCTTATACTCATGCTTATTTCATATCTATTGAGTACACCATGTTGGCTTGGGTCATATAAGCATGTCTAACTCCTTTGCTCTTATTGTCAAAAGCTTATATGAACCAAGCATGTTGAAAACCTCATCTTTTTTACATACTCGAGGTTGTATTATCATCAATCACAAAAAAGGGGAGATTGGAAGCATCTAGGCCCCTAGTTGGGTTTCGGTGATTAATGACAATACGAGATTACTATGACTAATGTATGTTTTGCAGAGGCAATTTAAGTTAGGTCATGGTAATGGCAATTGATTGGGCAATCATGGTTGTCATGCCCCTACGATGGAAATCATTTTGGTTTTCAAAGGATGGATGACAAGGTTAAGGATGGACTAGTTCTAAGTGTCGTTTGGTGTTGAAGAGACACTTAGAGTAGTTTAGGACTTTGTTTTTCCTTTGGCCGTACTATTAAGGGGGGTATTGACTAGTATCTTGACCTAGGTGAGTCTAGTGAGTTAGGTGTGGTGCGCACTTGTCAAATCTAGCACTAGGTAGCTCCGGAGTAGCCCTAAGATCAATTGGAGCAAACTTCATTTATATATGATTTCGAGTTGAAAGTGAATGGAGGGTCAAATGACTGACCGGACGCTGAAGGGTGAGTCCGGTTAGTTCATTTGATCAACTGGAGCTGTCTAGTTGTGACCGGACGTTGAGTGAAAAGTGATCGGATGCTGGGTGCCAGAGTCCGGTCAACTCCAGAGAGGTTCCAGAGAGGGAGTTTCCTGATCGGACGCGTCCGGTCAGTGCTGACCAGACGCTGGTCAGGATTCTGTAACTGACCGGACGCTGAACAGCGAAGTGACCGAACTCTAGGTGCCAGTGTCCAGTCAACATCAGTAAGGTTCCAGAGAGCAGTTTTTGTGACCAGACACGTCCGATCAGTGATGATCGGACGCATGTTAGAGTCTAGTCAGAACTTAATGGCTCTTTCTGATACAGTGGCAGGGATAACTGACTAGAGCGTCCGGTCAACCCGCAGAGTAATGACTCAACCTCCAAACGTTATGTTTTTTAATGAGGGGGTATAAATACTTACTCCACTCGTCCAAGGGAGGTCTCTTGCCCATTTGTTCAGCTGAGAAACACCCTTAAGAGTGCAAAGGAGAGCAAGAGCCTAGTGAGGTGATTGAGATTTGAGAATCCAAGATTAAGGCATCATTAGTGCAAGGAGAGTAGCAAGTGTGCATCCACCCTTCTCGTTAGGCTTGTCGTGGTCAAGTGAGAGTTTGGGCTTGTTACTCTTGGTGATCGCCATCACCTAGATGGCTTGGTGGTGATTGGGAGTTTGGTGATCATCCGGCGGAGCTTGTGGATGACCCAACTCAAGTTATGTGCGGTTGTGGGAGATTCGTCGCGATGGAGTGTCGAAGAATTAGCCCGTAGAGAGCACTTGATCCTTGCGCGGATCGAGGGGGAGCTACACCCTTGCGCGGGTGCTCCAACGAGGACTAGTGGGGAGTGACGACTCTACGATACCTCGGTAAAACATCGCCACGTTTCTTTTCTCTCTTTACTTTGAGCATTTACATTCGAGCAATTCATTTCTTGTCTTTACATTACTAGAATTTCCATGCTAGAGTAGGAATTGAATTTAGGGTGCAAAACTTTTGTGTGGTAGAACAATAGAATCACATTCTAGGCACAAGGGGTGAAGTGGGCTAAGTGTAGGACTTAATTATTGAAAGAATTTAGAATTAGCCCAATTCAACCCCCTCTTGGACATCTTGATCCATTTGATTACGGAGGATATATCAGCTCGTCGGCTTACAACTTTTAGCTTTTTCTCCAATCTCATGGTCTGCAATATTTAAGGAAGCTACTAATCATTGCAATGGTCCTCAGTCTAATGTTTGCCATAGCTCCCTGTGCATGAAAGACTAGAGTTCTCCTATTCATGTTGTCATATTTGTTTTGGGACCAATGTACTACCACCATTATTATTTACATGCCGAGTTTCCTTATAGAATTTAATTATAATGTCACCGCATTATTATTCTGACATGCAATATTGCATGCATGCACATATATAGATCAAACGGTACTTATTCTACCAAGCTCATAACAAATAATCTAGTGTCTTTGTTCTCATAAAATTTGTCTGCTGAACATGATTAAGATCATAACCTATATTGTGATATATTTTAAAATTAAACCTAAAAACATTTTTGTGAGGTTAGCCAAACAACTAGTAGAAATATTAATAATATGTTTAACATCATAAGAATAATGTCCCCCTGTTTTTAGTGGAGAGTTCATGCAATATAGAAAACAAGAAAATTAATATCTTAGAACCGCCTGCTACACATGTGATCTAAGAAGGACCATATATAAGGAACAATAAGATGGCAAATACCATATAGGGTAGCAGCTGTTCATAATTAAAGGGTGCGTACAATCCAACCAACAACAAGAATAATAGCAACAGTAACACGGGGTAAAAGTACATCCGGTGGGGATAGATGCATGCTTGCGTACGGCGATACGGCATAGATTATATATATAGCTGATGGTCCTCGGTCCTGCTGGGCTACCGCACCATCGATCGACCTCTAGATGCTGCGCTCAATCTGCTTGAAGATGTCGAAACTCTCGATGACTTGCTCCTTGGCCCTATCCTGCAAGAGCAGCATGCATACATGTACGTAAGAAATAGCATACCATATTGGACTCTTGCTCTGTTTCTGTATAAATGTATAGAGAAGAGAGGCAGCTTTAATTTGCAGTACCTACCTCCAGATCAAAGCGTGCCTCAGTTACCTGAGGAGTGGGCACTGCTCTAGGTTCTGGAGCGCTGTTGGAAGTGGCAGTAGAGGCAGTCGTCGTCGAGCAGCGCGGGTCGCACTTCGCCCACTGCATATATGCAGCACGTCATAGAGAAAATGTGTAAAAATGTTTTAAGAATTAATTATGATTAACCAGCAATCTTACATTCTTGGCAGCCATGCTGAAGGCCTCCCTGTGAGGGATATCTGGCTTCGCAGCTTTGATGCGTTGAATCTCCTCCCTGCCACATGTAATGTAAAGGGTAATATATATCTAGTCAAATTTTCTCTCTAATATAATGAAACACAGCTCTCCTGTGTTTTCAATATATATATATATATATATATATATATATATAGCCAAAGAAAATTAAGCCTCTTATTTTTTTTCTTTACAAAAGAGAGGTATGGTTCTTAAAATGTTATATATAAGACATCTAAGAAACATGGAAAATAATTTGTATTGTACATATATTTTATTTTGTGTAATCCTAGACTGCACAATAATGTAATAGTTTCACTTTAAAAATGACTCCCGCCTCTTCAAAAAGTAGGGAGGTTTGACCCATACAATTTTCTAAGGCCACACGTACTCTAGACATTAATTCCTCTGAAATTATTTTCATGACCAACAAATAATACCAAACAAAAGCATTATCAAATACGAGTCCAACGGTACAAAAGTAGTACACTATACTCTACAAATTCTTAGGCTAATTGGTTTAATGAGAGGTTAAAAGCTTGAAGTGTGTGTGCGCCTAATAACAAAACAAACAGAGGGACCATCAAATTAGACAATTAATAATCGTGTCAATAAAATTATTAAATTGGAAAATTAATTGCATGTCGAGCAATTAGTAGAGTGGTGAGTGTATAGGAACTTAGGTCCAACGTGTCGTCATTAAGTCCATTCTTTTCAAAATGGTTGTCGTCATGAGTGTATCATATGTGTGGGGCTGTTCTTATTTGTTGTATGCTATTGGCCGGTTTTGTGAGAAGTATTCTGCATTGTTTCTATTTTCTAAAATTATCAATCTACTTCCCATATATTTGAAGGGAAAATATAGAAATTCAAAGACCCAAAATGAATGCTTACAATACAATGAAGATTGCATAGTATCACCTTCATTTCATCCTTTTATATATTCAACAAAAGCTAAAATATGGAATGAAGGTTACATAGTGTGCTTTTGTTAAAAGAATGAAATTGTTGTGAATGAACAAATTCAACAAAAAGCACTATATATGCACCTTCCATTCCATTCCTGTATGTTTGCTTGCATGGCATGAGTGTATAGATTGTTCTAGAATTCTGTTTAAATACATTGCATACCCAGTAACCAGTATGGAATCACTATCCACACATTTGTTTTCTAAACCCAACTGTTGTGACCTTGGAAATGGTTGGATAGAGTATCGGGCTAGACTACTATATATTTATCTAAAAAATTATCTGGAAAATATATAGCAATGGAATGTTAGATTTACTAAAAACTACATTAATGTCCACACAGGTAATTACTTATGGAGCTCAACAAAAAAAAAATAACATGGTTTGATGCAAAGTAATAAAACCCAGAGTGAACCTTTTTTTAATGAAATAAGATCTTTGTCAAATGTTTGCACTGCACAGTTCCTCCAGATTTTTTATTGAGAAGGGAGATTTATTGCCGACCTAATAATGATGCATTGGATATAGCCAAAACAATGTGTGAACTGTGAACTATATATATGCACGGCACGATCTAGCTAGTTATTGTGCTCGGAGCTCCTATCTACTTGAGTATTTGTAAACTTGGCTGAACGACGGATCCAGCAGAACCCCTACACAGCAAGTTCGTCTCACATTTTTAAGCAGTGTCTTCAGCTACTGTGCAAATACTGTTAGATAATCTACTGCTTTCTTGTGTGAACACACAGCAAGGGAAGGCGGCGCCGAACTGACCCCCTGTTGTGGTACTGTAGCCGCTGTAGAGGCAGGCGCCGAACGGCTCACCTGCCGCACTGTAGCCACATGCAGAGACAGACGCAGAAGTTAGTTTTACTGTGTTACCTAGTCACTGTAGCAGTATGACAGCTTTACTAGGACTAGATAAATAGAGTTGTATACATAGTTTGCCACTGCAACTCAGTAAACAGAGTTCAGTTTTTGCCATCTCCTGCATAAGGCTCCAACCAACGCTGATGTCTCTGCTGTGTGTGTATACTCTGTTCTCCCTCTTCTTGTACCTCTAGCCATAGTGTGTGGTCGGACAGCGCCTGTCGTGCTCAGCCGTGGTCGGCAAGACTGGTGAGTGGTCGACTCACCTGAGCCTATGATCCTGTGGGCTAACAAGTGGTATCGGAGCCGTACAAGCGTCGTCACCGGACTAACCGCTGGCAATGATGAACGGTTCGGAGATGGACGACAACAGTGGCACTGCTGTGGCTGCCCAACCACGACAGGAGGTCGTTGTTCACACGGTGCGGGAGGTCAGCGACACCAGTTGGCCGACGCTGACTCGCACCAACTATGGAGAGTGGTCGGTGACTATGAAGGTCAAGCTCAGAGCCCAACGGCTCTGGAATGATGTTGACAAAGGCACCAAAAATGAGGAAGATGACATGTCCGCGTTGGAGGCTATCCTCGCTGCTGTATCGGCGGAGTACAGGGAGCCATTGGGGGCGAAGAGCTCTGCTAAGGAGGCGTGGGAGGCTATTGCGGCGATGCGCGTCGGTTTCGACCGCGCAAAGGAGGCAACGGCCCAGCTTCTAAAGTAGGAGTACGCCAACCTCAAGTTCAAAGATGGTGAAACGGTGGAGGATTTCTCCCTCCACCTGCAGACGCTCATCAGCAAGCTGAAGTGCCACGGCGTCACCATCGACAAAGAGGAGGCGGTCTCCAAGTACCTCCACTCCGTGTCGGCAAACTACATCCAGATCGCTCTCTCCATAGAGACGATGCCGAACTTGTCCACCCTCACCATTGAGGATGTGACAGGCCATCTGCGGGCGGTGGATGAGTGCCTAGAGCAGGTGACAACAACGAAGGACAGCGGCAAACTGCCGCTGACAGAGAAGGAGTGGGCTGCTCGGAGGAACTCTGGGGTAGCCTCCTCCAGCCACGGTGGCGATGGCAAGCGCCGCAGTAAGGCTTCTTCGGAGAAGAAGAAGCAGGTCGACCCCAACGCCTACCGGCGCTGCGGGAAGATGGGCCATTGGGCACGGGAGTGCCCAAGTCGCAAGCAGGAAAAGAAGGCTGAGGCTCATCTGGCGCAAGCTGATGATGATGATGAGGCCACTATCCTGATGGCGACGTTCTATGCACTACACGACGTTGAGGCCATGGAGAAGGGAGAGGTGATGATTTTGGAAGGACCTGGGAAGGCCCTGAATGCTGTCAACCTCGACAAACCGCGTACCCAAGTCCACCTCGGACGTGTGGGCGGCGAGCAGGAGAAGCGGTGGTATCTGGACTATGGTGCCAGCAACCACATGATGGGCTCCAAGGCATCCTTCTCCGAGCTCGACGATGATGTTACCGGTATGGTGAAGTTTGGTGACGGCTCAAGGGTCGCACCATCATCTTCAGGTGCCAGAATGGGGAGCACCACGCGCTATGTATATTACATCCCGCAGTTGCGTTCAAGCATCATTAGCATTGGTCAGCTAGATGAGCGAGGTACTGATCAAGGACGGAGTCCTCAGGATCAGGGACCAGGAACAGCGACTTCTTGCCAAGGTGAAGAGGTCCCTGAACTGGTTGTACCTGCTCGACCTGAAGGTAGAGTAGCCGGTGTGCCTGGCGGCAAGGCACACCAAGGAACCATGGTTGTGGCATGCCCGGTTTGGACATCTTAGCTTCGATGCGCTTGGTCGGTTGGAGAAGATGGTCCGGGGGCTACACTACATCAAACACGGAGGCGAGCTGTGTGACAGCTGCCTGGCCGGGAAGCAGAGGAGGCTGTCGTTCCCAAAGGCGGCCAAATATCGTGCGTCGGACGCTCTCTAGCTCGTCCACGGCGACCTCTGCGGGCCGATCACGCCAGCCACAAACGGTGGTCAGCGGTACTTCCTCCTGCTCATGGATGATTGCAGTCGCTACATGTGGCTGCAACTCCTGATGAACAAGGACAAAGCGGTGGCGACTATCAAGAAGTTCAAGACGTGCGTGGAGGCCAAGAGCGGCAAGAAGCTCCACGTGCTGAGGACTGATCGTGGCGGCGAATTCACTTCGGTAGAGTTCGCTGCATACTGCGCGGATCAGGGTGTGGTGTGACACCTCACCGCGCCATACTCGCCACAACAGAATGGCGTGGTGGAGCGACGGAACCAGACGATGGTCAGCATGGCCCGATCCGTGATGAAGGCCAAAGGCATGCCAGCAAGATTCTGGGGGGAGGCGGTGACCACGGCATTGTTCATCCTCAATCACACTCCGACCAAGGCCCTAACGAGCAAGACGTCGTTCGAAGCTTGGCATGGAAGCAAGCCAAGCGTGTCCTTCCTCTGGACATTCGGCTGCATCGGCCACGTCAGGAAGACGAAGTCGAACCTCACCAAGCTGGAGGACAGGACCACACCGATGGTGTTCCTAGGCTACGCGGAGGGTACCAAGGCGTACTGGCTCTACGACCCACACGGAGTCAAGGTACTTGTCTCGCGCGACGTCGTGTTCGACGAGAAGGCGGGTTGGGACTGGAACGGTCCGAGCACAGGGGAAGCTGATGGCTTCACCAGCACCTTCGTCGTCGAGCACCTGGTCATCCATGGTGGTGGAGACGCTGGGGAAGAGGTGCTGAGCACTCCGAGAGGAGTGCCGAGCACTCCAGCGTTAGAGCCGAGCACTCCAGGGGCAGTGCCGAGCACTTCGGGAGGAGTGCCGAGCACTCCTGAAGGAGTGCCGAGCACTCCTGAAGGGATACCGAGCATGCCAGGAGTGGTGCTAGGAGGTTCTGCAGTGGTGGCGACCACTCCAGGATGGGTGCCGAGCACTCCTGTAGCAGAGCCAAGAGGTCTTGCAGTGGTGCCGACCACTCCAAGACTGAGGCTGAGCACTCCTACAGTGGTGCCGAGCACTGCAGGAGTTATGACGAGCTGTCCAGAAGTAGTGCTGAGCACTGCAACCAGGGTGCCAAGCACTCCGACAGAACAGGGAACTCCATCGATGCCGATCGAGTTCGCCTCACCTCCAAGTGACATCACTAAGTTCGTGGATGCCTTCCACGAAGGTGAGGAGGTGCGGTTCCGCAGGTTGGATGACATCGTCGGTGGCACAGGGCCCTCAGGCCTGGCGGGTATACTACTCAGTGACCCAGAGCTACTGCTCGTCAGTGCAGAGGAACCACCCACGTTCGCGCTGGCCGAGCACGATACACACTAGCGATGGGCGATGCTGGAGGAGATGAAGGTGATCGAGGAAAACGAGACTTGGGATCTCGTCGATCCACCTCCAAGATGCCGTCCGATCAGCCTAAAGTGGGTGTACAAGGTCAAGCGGGACAAGCTCGGCGCCATTGTCAAGCACAAGGCACGCCTCATCGCCCGAGGCTTTGTTCAGCGCGAGGGCATCGACTTTGAGGAAGTCTTTGCGCTAGTAGCTCGCATGGAGTCTGTCCGTTTGCTACCACCTTTGGCAGCAGCAAAGGACTGGTGCGTCCATCACTTGGACGTTAAATCAGCCTTCCTCAACGGCGAACAGGTGGAGACGGTCTTCGTCAGGCAACCTCCGGGTTTCGCCGTCAAGGGAGAGGAGCACAGGGTGCTCCGACTGTGCAAAGCGCTCTACGGGCTGCGGCAGGCCCCACGAGCATGTAACGCCAAGCTTGACGCCACGCTGGGTGAGCTTGGGTTTCAACGGTGCGCAACCGAGCACGCGCTCTACATACGACGACGGGGGAAGGAGCTCATCATCGTCGTATATGTGGATGACCTGATCGTCACCGGCGCGCGTGCGGAGGACATCCATAGCTTCAAACGCGAGATGGCGGCTCATTTTCGAATGAGCGATCTCGGTTCACTCTCCCACTACCTCGGCATCGAGGTAAGACAGAGGAAGGAGGAACTCACGCTCGGTCAGAGGGCGTATGCCTCGAAGCTGTTGGAGCGGAGCGGCATGGCTGAGTGCAAGCCATGCGTAACTCCGATGGAGGAGCGGCTGAAGCTGACAAAGGCCAGCACCGCGGCGAAGGTGGACGCAACACTCTACCGGAGCATCGCCGGCGGTCTGCGCTACCTAGTCCACACTAGGCCGGACATTGCGTTCGTCGTGGGCTACGTTAGTCGCTTCATGGAGGATCCCAGAGAGGATCACTAGGCTACGGTGAAGCGGCTACTGCGCTACGTCAAGGGGACGATGGATAAGGGGATCATCTTTCCCAAGACCGGCGGGAGTAGGCTGTAGCTCACTGTGCTCAGCGATGCAGACATGGTAGGGGACATCGACGGACGACGGAGCACCTCTGGCGTGCTCGTCTTCCTCGGGTCGACTCTAATTTCATGGCTGTCGCTAAAACAGAAGGTGGTGGCGCTATCTACGTGCGAAGCAGAGTACGTAGCAGCAGCCACAGCGGCGTGCCAAGTTGTGTGGCTGTGCTGGCTACTAGGCGAGCTAACCGGCATGGAAGCTCACCCACCAGCACTGATGGTGGACAACCAGCCCGCCATCGCCCTCGCGAAGAATCCGGTTCTGCACGACCGGAGCAAACATATCGATGTGAAGTTCCACTTCCTCAGGGACTGTGTCGATGGAGTGCAGATCGTCATCGAGTTCGTCAAAACTGGTCTGCAACTCGCGGACGTCCTCACCAAGCCGCTCGGACGTCTTCGACTCATGGAGCTAAAGGAGATGATCGGCGTGGAGAGGGTACAAGGGTTAGCAGTAGGATTAGGAGAAAAATTGTTAGATAATCTACTGCTTCCTTGTGTGAACACACAGTAAGGGAAGGTGGCGCCGAACTGGCCCCTGCTGTGGTACTGTAGCCGCTGAAGAGGTAGGCGCCGAACGGCTCACCTGCCGCACTGTAGCCATATGCAGGGACAGGCGCAGAAGTCAGTCCTGCTATATTATCTAGTTACTGTTGCAGCATGGCATCTATACTAGGACTAGATGGATAGCGTTGTATAAATAGTTTGTCACTGCAACTCAGTAAACATAGTTCAATTTTTGTCATCTCCTACACAGGGCTCCGGCCAACGCTGGTGTCTCTACTGTGTGTGTATACTCTGTTCTCTCTCTTCTTCTATCTCTAGCCATAGTGTGTGGTCGGACAGCACCTGTCGTGCTCGGCCGTGGTCGACAAGACTGGTGAGTGGTCGACTCACCTGAGCCGGTGATCCTGTGGGCCAACAAATACTCAGGTTTACATAGTACGGATTTGCAAGCCTAGCTTGCTACTAGACGGTTACTTGCGTAGTTGCGTTGGGGAAAGTGTAAGGGGAGAGCGAGGCCGGTATCCCATATCCATATATATATATAGTGGATGCAAATCCATTTAGTTCAAGTTGAACTATAGTTCAAAGTTTGAGCAGACAGTACAAAATCAACTTTATAAATAAACAGAGAAATACGAATTGAACTTGACCCCAAGCAGCAAGGTCATGTATAAATGAGATCATCACATGTAACTGTTTGAGAGACATGTATTTGAAAAACTATATTATCCAAAAAAATGTATTTGAAAAACTTAAAAATTAAAGAAAAAAAATGTTTCCTCACCTCATGAAGCGATTGTAAGCAGATGGGAGGCGGTGTTTCTTCTCCGGGGCTGCAATGAAACAAAGCAAATGCATTGAGTACAAGAACAACCTTAACTGTTTAATCAATCACATCAACTAACAGGAGGATAGAGTTTGAGAAGAAAGTAAAAAAAAAATCACGTAAGAACAGAAAGAAACAAAGCAAGGAACAAGGGATAGTCAATGATGGTGCTTCTTGCTGCTGCTACTTACGCTTGACAACGAAGGGCATTCTCGGGCTGAGCTCAGTTGATGTCGGCGGGGCCAGCGGCAGCGGTTGGTTCCTCCTGCACTCATTGCAGGGTCCCTGACACTGAAATGGCAGCATAGCAATCAAAGATAGGTCCCAGCGCGCTTCAAAGATCTCACAACATTAGCGATGCATCATGATGTTACTAGGCCATCAAAATCAGGTTATGGATATCTAGATCTTTGTTTCCAAAAGAAAATGTGTTTTAGGAGAACCATGCATGCATGAATGCCATAGCAGAGCAGCCGCCGCTGCTGCTGCCGCCTCAAAAAAGCTCAACACTGCCTTTTGCAGCAACGAGCGAGGGCTTTCCCAGGCCGCGCGCAGAGATGAGCAAAAAGAAATCTTTTGTAGTCCAGCGTTGTTTAATCTTGCCTTGCAAACAGTACTTTGAGTAGTTCAATAAAGCAGAGAGAGAGAGGAGAGAGAGCAAAGTAGCAGCACGCGGATGCAACTGAAAGTAAAGCAAAACCATGGCCATATTTCATGAGAAAACCCCATTGATCTAGCTATTTCTCACACCGTCTATATTCGTTTTTTCCCATCCTCCAAAAAAGCTAGCATATTCAACAAAGAAGACGAACGCGGTTAGCTGAAGATATGTTGGGGGTAACTAACTAAAGAGCGAGCTGTATTGATCCACACCGTACCTGGAATGGCCCCAAGGGGTGATCAGTCGGCGAGAGCGGCTGCACCATGGAGGGACGTGGACTGAGGTAGGAGAGGTTGTTGCAGTGGCCGCACTTGACAGTCACCGTGTCCATCAGCCTCTTGCATGGAACCCCAACCTGCAGCTACCCAAGAAGCACAAAATCAATCAATCGCAGCATGCAATCAGATCAAGGACCTGCTACTACATCAACTTCATTCTTCCTTTGCATGGCACTGTCGATCGAAGCAGTAGCAGCTATAGAATATAATCTCAAGGAGAAAGAAATTGAGGGATGGGAGGTGGATAAAGGCAGAGGAGAGTAAACAGAAGATTCTTGTCCAATCTGAACTTCAGTATGCATGGAACAACAAAGAAGAGAAGATATGGAAGCTTTCGAATCACCAAACATATAGAAGTGAAAGCTCGGAACATGGTACTATCAGGCGAAGAAGCAGCGAGCGGAATATTCCACAAAGAATCAGCATGTGTGGCACATCAGTCATGTCCCATGTGCAATTCTAGTGCATGTATATATTCCGCCTGTTCGTTGGTTGGTTTCTGGGCTGATAAGGCCGGCTGGTGTTAATTTGTTGTGAGAGGAAAATACTGTTGACTGGCTGATAAGTCCTGGCTGAAACCAACAAGCGTACATGCTAATTTCCTCCTCCAATCTTTAGAAAGGCTGGATTTAATTGGTTGCCATGCGAATGAGCTAGTAGTATCACTGGCTAGCACCATCATATAAAGCAAGGATATATATACATATGCAGAAAAGAAAAACGAGAAAGAAAAGAAAAATGGGAACCAGCAGAAGACTTGTCTGAGTTTAGCAAAGAAATAACGAGCGGAAGAAATGCCATATCTGGTGCTAGCTAGCTAGCTAGCTAGCCGTATCTCATGATCTTCGCCATGATAGATGTTTCATTATTCGGATCCGATTTCTCGAGGAGTTTACCGCGAGCACGGTGTTGCAGTAGGTGCAGCGGACGTAGCACAGGTGCTCGGACTGCGAAACCATATCCATACTTGCTTGGTGGTGGCCGGCCGGCGTGGAGGTGGCGGCGGCGGCGCGGCGGGCGGTGGTATATATGTTCGAACTTCGGAGGAGCCTCGCTCGGGGGAGAGAGCAAGCAGCGTGTGTCTGGCTGTCTGCTAGATGTGTGGTGAGGCGAGATACTAATAAGGCAGCAGGCAATGAAGAAGGGGAAGAGGACGGGAGGTAGAAGAAGAAGCAGTGGAGCACGCCACGGGTAGAGAGAAAGAGTTGGGTTCCAAGAGAAGATGGGGGTAGGGTTTCTATTCCTGCAATAATGCCTGGGCCCCACGCACACATGGGTTCGTACGAACGAGACCAACCACGCAGCGATCGGGCGATGGAGCGGAGCTGGCTGCACCACCATAAATCTTTTCGAGACATAGCAAGCAAGACGCACACACACGGCCGGCAGCCTAACCCCTGCATAGTGATCCGTCTCTACTCTCTCGCTCATGCAAGTGTACATCTCAAGGGAAAGGAACAGTCACCCTGCTCATAGCATCTCGGGCCACGCATAGTGCATGGTTGGAGCGGCGCGTCCATCCAATTACGCGCCTCTCATCGATATGATCCACCACCACTGCTGCTAGTTCCCCTGTGGTAGCGTACTAGTGCCTACGTGCGTGTGATTGATGAACAGATGTGTATGATCCACTGCGATCGCTCCAATAAAGGGCGGCGATCGATCCATCAATTTGATGACTCGAAGTCCTTTAATCCAGTTTGGACGTATACATGCATAGGGGACTGTTTGTGGCACAACTAAAGCTCCAAGAATTTTTGGAACTGCTCGTCTCTGAATACTACATATTTATTGGACCTGAAGTTCTGGGGTTCGGTATACTGAAGATATTTCGGTTCGTATTATTAGTGCGTATCTCGCATTTCAAGAAATCAACAAATGTTATACATCCAAATGGGTTTACTATGATCTAGTGATGCTCATTTTATATCATGAATATTAGTACTCTTTATATATTGGTCAAATTTGTGATTGGTTGACTCCTTGAAATTCAAGACGTGTACTTATTTTTTGGGATCGAGGAAGTATGTTTAAACCACTTATTTTATCCTGCAAACCTTAAAATCCTTACAATATGGTTCTCAGAGCTATAGTTGGGCTAAACATGGCCTATATATATGTTTTTTTGCCTAACAAAGATGTCATGGCATTTAACACAAGGATGCAAGTGGGTCGGTCCACAGCCCTGCAAATAGTAGGCCATTTTAATACAAATCCGAAGTGTATGCACCCTAGCACGTTGGTCATTGATGCAGGGCAAGGCGTGTATGCATTGTTTGTATATATGTGAAGTATTGTCTTATTAGTAATTTTAGCATATACATTCATAATATTTCATGTGTGACTACTATATATTATTCTGAATGGAATAAATATATGTATTGTACATGGGATGTGGCCAAAGAAAAGGCATCAAGAGAAACCTGGATGGTGACCTGTCTTCAGTTTGTATCAGAGGTCTATCTTTTGGTTAAGCTGCTGATTTCAGCATTGGTGTTTTCTTCGAGTAAAACTTCATCTCTTTCCGTTTTGGATTGTGTGTAAGGCCAACTGGAACCATATGTACACGAAAATTAGAGTCTAACTTACTTAATTTGGTTTCGCTTGCAAAGTGAATATCATAATACATCCAATGGTTGTTGTGATTAGACGGAAGCAAAGGGCCACCAAAACTTTGTGTAATATTGTCAACCACTCTTAATGTGCTTTGTGGACAGTTAATAATCATATATATAAATAATAGCCTCTATTTTTCAGTAAAAGACAAAATGTCATAAGACATTCCGAGCCACCGACGATGATCCACGGACATGTGAGAGATCACATATATATATATATATATATATATATATATATATATATATATATATATATATATACATATATACATATATACATATATATATACACATGCGCGGTAGCGCTATTCTACACCCTATTCTACACTGCAACCAAAACTGACCTGAAAAAAATACTGAGTAGTACTGAACCGTGTTCAGTATCAGTCAGTACTATACCCAGTACCTCAAAATACTGAAACGCGACTACTGAACAGTACTGAATTTTGTTCAGTATAACAATTTGGTGTAGAATAGTATTCTTCTACACCTAGGATGTAGAATAGCGCGTGTGTGTATAGAAGAGTTTGATGCTACTACTATACCATTCTAGCTATGTGGCCTGGGATATATAATTAGGTCTTTGGTCCAGTTAACGTACTTCCATGTCGTCCCTAGCCAGTGGCAAAGTGAGGTTAGGCAGGCGTTTTGACTGGTTTTGTTGCACAAGGACACGTACCAGTTAGCGGCAGCTTTTGTGCCTTAGCTTCTCAGAGACCTGTCTTTTTATGTTTTTAATAACGAAGAAAGAAAGTATCAGAGAAAAGGAGAGGAGAGCAAGCGCGTATACGTTGTTACTATCATATGATTGAGGATGCGTGGGCACGATATATGATCGATGGGATTATTAATTAGGTGCAACTATTCATGACGAACGATTTTTCTTTCTAGGCATGCAACGCTAGAAAAAGACGACACACACGCGCATGCCTACGGATGGCCCCGATGATATACTTTCCGCGATCCCTGATTAATTTGCCCTAGTTTAGTGTTTTGGGTTCATTATTTTTAGGATCATAATATCTTATATGTATATATATGGACCTTGTAATTTATATATAGACAAATTAAATTAAAAAAAATACATCCTCAATTGTATAAGAGCCTAGAGCTCCTTCTGCTCCAGATTTTTTTATGAAAACTTATTTTTTTTTTCTAGAGAAGTGATTCTCTAACTAAAAACTTTCTCTGTGATTCTTTAGAATAAATTCTGTGCATATATATAGAGTGAAGTAGGAGAAGCTATTTTTTCCAGCTTCCAGTCTTCTAGTTCTTCAATTCAGAGAATCACTTCACATAGTCAACATAAAATCACTTCTCAGTAAAATCCTGTTTGGTTAACTCCTCCTGAATTTAGCCTGAAAGCTGCTCTAAAAGCTCTGTCAAAAAAACCATAAAGTGAAACCTTCTGCCAAAAATAAATAAAATAAATAACTAAAATAAAATGCAGCGATGCAATTTGTTGAGATTTTCCCTAATTGGTAACTAAATTAATGTGAGATCTTCACGAATATTCATGGTCACTACCAGTAAGTAAGGCATGAATTGTTTATATATACAGTCACGGGCCGGCCGGCACAACTTGTACTGTTTCCTTGATTCAGGCAGCTGCTGAAGCCGTCGACCGTTATTGTTCCAAGACAGTATTGCATAACACAAGGGTATCAGTGTACCACCAACTTATTTCTGCCGACAGCATATCTCTATGATACGGCGGAAGCGAGGTTCATTCCTTGAATCTATGCGACATATGATAAAGAAAGTAGGTTGTTCACCGGCGGCCGGTAGGCATATATCCATGCATTCTTGCAGCGTTTGTTTTCTGTTGCCATGCATAGGATGGACGATGGATCGATTTGATATGGAAGTCGGGCGGGCATGCATGAGCGCGGATTGTGTTGCATGAACTTAACCATGCTGCTCTATCGCAGCTAGAAATCTCGTATCATGCCAGCACAAAATGGGGCCGCCGCCGGCCGCGCGTTTCGTACCATCATATCATAGTCGATGGATGGATGGATCAATCGAATCGATCACTTGGATGCGGCTCTCATGCCATGCATGCAGCAGGGTCTGCGTCGCCGGCCCGCGGCGCAGCGAGATGCCCAGCAGTCCGTCGTCGAAGTGGCTCAGATCTATCACTAGTTTGAACTGAACCAGGCCCGGCAGCTTGATTAATTAAGTGGACAGGACTCGCTACTAGCACATCATAGAGGGAGCCAGGGATCGAGGGGACGGCCGGGTGGGCGGGCCGGGCCAGGCAGGGGCGGTCAGCACAGCACGCAGCTTGACTACTGATGGGCATGCAGCTATCAGGGGGAGGGTGCTGCGCGCGCATACGCGCGTGATCTGATGCGCGACACAAGCAAGGGCCTGCGCGCACGGCGTTATTAGCGAAAGAATCTGCCTCTGTGATCGCTCGGTGCCATAGCTGCCATTTATGCAGCGAAAGCATGAGCCGGCCGGGTGGCGACACCCAGTGCGCGACGACAGCCACCGCGGCGGCTCCCCGCTCCCGCTCCGGTCATCAGTAGCAGTCACTCAGTCAGTCAGTACCAGCCCTGCGCGCCCAGGCGGTGAATGCGCATCCTGCCTCTATGGACCCACGTGTTTGACGCACAAACGCATTCAATAGTGAGTGTGTGAGAGAGAGACGCAATAGTGAGTGTGTGAGAGAGAGAGACGCAAGAGCTGGCTGTTGCTTGTTGGCCCCTGGATCTACGAAACGGGAGAGCCGACCTCTCACCAGCGTTGTCGATCACATACTATCGTTGGCGACCATATATTATGACGAGAGGTAGAAGAAGAGAGGGAGAACATAGCGCGCGCACACAGCACAAACACCAGCGTTGGCCGGAGCTCTGCAGAGAAGATGACAAAACTGAACTCGCTCTGTTTATTGAGTTGCAGTGGGAAGCTAGGCTACCATGGTGCTACAGTGACTAGATGTGACAGCAGGACTGACTTTGGCGCCTGCCCCTGCTGTGGCTACTGTGCCGTAGAAGAGCCTTTCGGCGCCTGCCCCTGCAGCAGTTACAGTGCAACATCAGAGAGCTCTTTTCGGCGTCGCCCCCCTGCCGTGCGTTCACACAGGGGAGCAGCAGATTATTTAACAATTCTTTCCCTAATCCTGCTGCTAACCCTAGAACCTCCGCCATGCCGATCATCTTCTTCAACTCCATGAACCGAAGACGACCGAGCGGCTTGGTGAGGACGTCCGCGAGTTGCCGACCAGTTTCGACGATCTCGATGATGATTTGCCCCCCATTGACACAGTCCCTGAGGAAGTGGAACTTGACGTCGATGTGCTTGCTCCGGTCGTAGAGAACCAAATTCTTCGTGAGGGC